CAAATTTTTACCACTCACGCATCACATAGAGCACTAATCTTTAGGGTATATAAAGAACTCAAAAAGCTAAACACCGAAAAAACAAATAACCCAATCAACAAATGGGCCAAGGATCTGAACAGACACTTCTCAGAAGAGGATATACAATCAATCAACAAATATATGAAAAAATGCTCATCATCTCTAGCAATCAGAGACATGCAAATCAAAACTACTCTAAGATATCATGTCACTCCAGTCAGAATGGCAGCTATTATGAAGACAAACAACAAGTGTTGGCAAGGATGTGGGGAAAAAGGTACAGTCATACATTGCTGGTGGGACTGCAAATTGGAGCAGGCAATTTGGAAAGCAGTATGGAGATTCCTTGGAAATCTGGGAATGGAACCACCATTTGACCCAGCTATTCCTCTCCTGGGTCTATATCCAAAGGACTTAAAAACAGCATATTACAGGGACATAGCCACATCAGTGTTTATTGCAGCAGCACAATTCACAATAGCTAAACTGTGGAGCCAACCTAGATGTCCTTTAGCAGATGAATRGATTAAAAATGTGGCATATATACACAATGGAATTTTACTCAGCACTAAGAATAAAATCATGCCATTTGCAGGTAAATGGATGGCGTTGGATAAAATAATGCCAACTGAAGTTAGGCAATCCCCAAAAAACAAATGCCAAATGTTTTCTCTGATGTAAGGAAGGTGACTCATAGGTGGAGTAGGGAGGGAGAACATGGGAGGATTAGATGTAATTCTAGATAGGGAAGAGGGGTGGGAGAGAAAGGGAGGGGCCAGGGGATTAGCAAGGATGGTGGAATGTGATGGACATCATTATACAAAGTACATGTATGAAGACTTGAATTGGGTGTCAACATACTTTATATACAAACAGAGATACGAAAAATTATGGTATATATGTATATTAAGAATTGTAATTCAAAAAGAAAGTACATGTATAAAAGCATAAATTGGCCTAAACATACTTTATGTACAGAGATACGAAAAACTGTACTCTATACRTGTAATAAGAATTGTAATTCATTCCACTGTTGTCGTGTATTAAAAAAATAATAAAATCAATTTAAAAAAGGAATGAGAACTTTGACCTCTAAAGGAAAATAAATAAAATAATTCATGAAATTAAATATATAAATAAAGATGTTGTGTTCAATATAACTAAATAATTTTTAAAAATTTAAATGCTATTCACAATAAGAAAAAAAATACCTATAACCAAATACCTAAGAATAAATATAATGAAAGATGGATGTATCCAACTTATGTATTTAAAAAATACGGATATTGCTTAGAAAATTAATGAAGGCTTAAAGGAGAAAACTATACCATGTTCATGATTTTATCTATATATTGTATCTATAAATTAAATGAATCCTAGCCAAAATCCCAGCAAGTCTCTGTAGAAATTAGGAAGTAGATTCTAAAGTTTACATTAGAATATGAAGGAGAATAACTAAGGTAATCTTAAAGGACAATAAGTCTAGAGGACTTGCTTTCAGTACTTTAATCAAGTATTAATTAACACCWACTAACTGCAGCAATTCAGACAATGTGGTATTGGCATAAGTGTAGATAAGTAGACAAATGGAACAGGATAGATTCTAGAAATAGACAAGTGAATGGACATGATGTGCTACCATTATATATTGAAATTTTATAATGTTTGCTTTTAGAAATTTCACTTTGTATATTGTAAAGTTAATTTTTTCTTTTAAATAATTATTTGGAATGGCAGACTTTTAAACTGAGATGGCATTCATATTCTATCTTGGCTTTTTCTAATCCTTTAATTTTGGTAGTAATTTATCAGTTACAAACATGCTTTTAATTTTCAGTTTTGTTTTGGTTCTTTTAAAGAAGTCTTCTGGGACAATAAAGAGCAATGAACATTCTTTTGCAGAAGATGGGCAGCCTCACTAGAAAAATTTGACTCCTTTTTCTCCTTAGATTTTTTATTTGCAGCAATTTAGTTATTGATACCAATTTTCTGATTTGGTATTCATAATAATTCTATGATTTGTCACTTTGAGGATATGCAGTAGCATTGTGGTTTACTATCTTTGCAATTTTCAGTAAGAGCTATACGTACTAATTTTTGTTCCTAGTGTTCACTAAAACATTCATCTCTAAATTTTAAAGAAAAAAATTGGTATGTAAAATATTCACTATGTAATTTTYTTCAAATAGTAAATTATGTAATAACATACTTATTAATCTGTTTTCCTCTTTTCTAGAGAAAATCTCTTCATGAAAACAAATTGAGGAGATTGCAAGAGAAAGTAGAAGTCTTGGAGGCAAAGAAAGAAGAATTAGAAACAGAAAATCAGGTGTTAAATAGGTAATGTGTGTGTGTATATATATACACACCATGTAGTTATTTTGATGTCATAGAACTTTGTTTTTGAGAGCATACTGTGTTTTCTTTTAAAATATATATTTAAAAAGATATGTAAAACTATTTGATATCCATGAATGCATTACCTTTTATTTTTCTTTCTGACTTTTCCTTTAAACCAGAAAGTTTCAGTGCCAGGTGTTTGAATTATGGTTAAGATTGACATAAAAGGTTAGTCACTGGCTTTAGTATAGTAACTGGCTTTGATATCTAGGAGTGGTGTGAATTCTCAGGAATTCTAGGAGTATATGAATATCTAGGAGTGTGTGAATTCTGCTAAGCTAACAAAACAATTGTGGCTATTGTATAGGTCTGAAAATCATGGCCATGGCTTTGAATCAAAGGTCAGTTTTTGGTTTCCTAGGGTGGAGAAATATTACTGGGCTATTGCTTCTGATTTTGTAGACACATCCAAGCATAGCTAATAATCAGCATCCTTAGCATTTTTTGAACAGATAAGGTTTACTTTATTGGATTGGCATTAGTGGTATTATATTGATTTGGTATTGTATTTAACTCAAGATAATAAAAAATATTCTGAATTCAGCTAAGTAGTGGTAGCTTTCAGTACTTTAATCAAGTATTAGATTTTTTGTAATGGAAATTGCCTGTAATATCATGCAGTGATGTTTTGTGATATGTGCTGGTGTTCTTTGTTGTAATTTTTAACGTAAGGTGAACAACACCACAGTTGGTGATTACTCAAGGTTTCCAGATTGTGGAATTCATGCCAACTTTGTAATACTTTGTTTCAAAGTAGGAAGCCACTAAATTCACCTTCCTACCTCCTTCACAACCATTAATATTGAAGTATTATCAGTTTAAGATTGGACAGCTGTGGTTCAGATCATCTATTCTTTTTGGTACTAGTATTATTTTTTGGTACTAGTGATTGGACCCAAGGTTGTTTTACCTCTGATCTATATCCCCAACCCTTTTTGAAATTTGAGGCAGGGCTTCACTAAGTTTCTGAGACTGGCCTTGAACTTGTGATCTTCCTACTTCAGCCTCCCGAGTTGCTGGGGTAATAGGCATGTGCCACCTTGACTGGCTGATTCAGGACTTGGAGTGGTTTTGAAGCTTTATTTGATTGAACTGGTGTGATTTATAAGGAGTGTCATGTCCAAAAAGATGATAATGATCTGTGAAGACATAAAAAGTTAGATTTTTTTTCCCTCTTATCATTTTTTTTTTTAAGTTAGGTTGCTTCACCTTTATAATTACTATAGAAGATAGGGAAAAGCAGTGTTTTGCCTTGTCTCACTCATGTAGTCAACATAACACTCTGACACCAGGTGTATGGAGGTTTTTCCCTTATACTAGTCATTTAATTCTCCAATGGATATCAGTTGGATGGCCTATAATTCAATTCTAACATTATCACGTTGAATCCCCACTGGTTGACAGGTTGACTGTTTCCACTGCAGATGCCAATTACAAATCCCAGGCTGTGACCTATGCTTCTGATGGASAAGCTATAGATCGATATTCCCATGACCCTATTCTTGGGTTTGATTAATTTGCTAGAGCAGTTCCCAGACCTTAGAAATGCTTTACTTATACTTACCATTTATTATAAAGGATATTACAAAGGATACAGATGAACAACCAGAAGGAAGAGGTATTGGGGAGAGGCATAAGCTTTCATGCCCTGTGTAGGTGCACCAGCCTCTAAGGCACCTCCATGTTCAGCAACCCAGAAGTTCTCCAAACTCGTACTATTTTGGGTTATTTTATGGTAGCTTCATTATGTGGACATGATTGTTTACATTATTGGTCATTGATAATTAATTCAACCTTCAGCTTCTTTCTCTTTCCTGTGGTAAAGGTGAGTTGGAGCTTCAATTTCCAACTCTTGAACTAAGTCTTAATCTTTCTCATTTCCTGCTTTCATTCTGAAGCATTCTAGGATCCCCCAGCCACCAGTCATCTCATTATCATAAAAAAGATGCTGTTTTCAGTTCAAGATTCCAAGGGTTTTTAAGGAGCAATGTGCCAAGAGGACTCAGGGATAAACACTAAACACACACACATACACACACATATATATATATATATCTATATATATATCTATATATATATCTATATATCTATATATATATTATATTTTTATATTTGTGTGTATATGTGTTATTTTAAAAATTAGGTTGAACTATATGTAATTATTTATATTCGGTCATATTTCACCTAAAAGATGCCAATTTCATAAATTTATCCCTCCTATACTATGAGGTATTTTTGTGGTTTAAAGAATTTCCTTTTTAGTCTCATTATTGATCAGTAGCAGGGGATTGAGGAGGCTGTGGAAATGAAGGTAAAAAAAAGTCTCAAGAATGTTTTAAATCTTTGATTAATTGGCAAATATAATCTTAAAATTAGTGCTAGTAAATATATATAATTAAGATGTCATGTTTATATTTCTAGGTAAGTAGATTTTTATATAKTATATACAGATAAATCATAGTTTAGAAATTCTTCTGTTCCAGTTTATARTTATGAATTATACTATTTTTCAATAATGTATAACTATTAAAAAACACTTTCTTTTGTTCTATTTAAGACAAAATGTTCCATTTGAAGAATATACAAGGCTTCAAAAAAGACTAAAAGATATACAGAGACGACATAATGAATTTCGAAGTCTTATTTTGGTTCCTAACATGCCTCCAACAGCATCTGTCAATCCTGTTAGCATACAGTCATCAGCCATGGTTCCAGGCATGGAACTGTCCTTTCCTCCACATATGCAGGTATGAACATTTATTTTAGAAGAGAAAGTCAAACATGTCTATAATGTGTAAACAGAGATAAAACTTACTCACAAAAAATGGCATATCCATTTAAGGCCACTGTTAACTTTTCTTCTTTCATTTATCATAGAAATGTGCTGAAAAGTAGACTTGAATGTATTCCATCCCTTTAAAATGATGGTGTTGGAAGTAAAATCTCCTATTGAGCAATAGATAGGAGACTTGATAAATGAGTCTTTGAGTAGGCTAGAGTTTGTAGCTTGTTCATTCACTACTACTGAGCATTTACTAATGCAGTGCACTCTTCGTCTTCTATTCATTTTAACATTAATGAAAAAAACTTTGAGGCAGGTATTATTATTCTCAAATCACAGATGAAGTACCTGAGTCATAGAAGTGGAATGACTTGCCTAAGGTCATAGCTTAATAAAAAAGTTAAGTTTTAAACCTAAATCCTGTGATTCCAAAACCTGGGCTACTTCTGCTATGTCAGGCCCCTGAGATATTGAAGGAATCAAATTGATGGGCTGGTTTTCAGAAGATGGACATTTAATAAGTAATTATGTTTTATATTGTAAGCATGGAAGATTTTAGCCACTGAACTGAATCTCAGACCAAGTGCTTTGTTTATAATAAACAGCTGTTAAAACCAGTCTCATTTGAAAGTTGCCATGTAAATATTCCTGGCCTTGTCTTAGTATTTCTAATTTCCTACCTAGTGAATTTTACACCTAGCAAAGAATAGGCTGTGGGTTTTGCTTAAGGGTAGAGCCTGAGGCAGGAGAGAAGCAGTAGTTAGTATAGTGTTTCACCCATAGTAGTCTGTTTTTAGACTGCTAAAGTGGACATCATTTCCCTGCCAGGTTGTTGCGGGCCTATATAAGAAAGGCAGGCAAGGCTACTGTCCAGCAGGGACTCTTTTTATTTTTATTTTTTTTCCTGACAGTTTCTTTCACTGTGCTTTCCTACATCATTTTTAAGGAGGAACAGCATCAAAGGGAACTCTCGCTACTTCGAAAAAGACTGGAAGAACTAGAAACAACACAAAGAAAACAACTAGAAGAACTAGGATCTCCTGGGGAATGATGTTCTTGGATAAAAGGCAGATCAAAAGGGGTGAAATAAAGAGACTCAATAAAGCATGCAGTTTTAATGTACATGGCATTGATATACTTTATTACTGTTTGCCAAAATACTTAAATGTGCCTCTAGAAAAGGTATCAGCTACATGCTGCATTGCATGATATTCAGATTTTCCGATTATACTGATGACTAATAAAGCATTAAAAGAAAGTTTCAGAGATATTTTACAATATATAATATCTGAATATAAAAATAAATAATAAATAGGGAATCAAGTTTTAAAATTTTCACTTCTAAATTTTTTTGGCATTTTGCCTGAAATGTACCCATCTTGAATTCTTTTTTTTTTCATCTCTGAGGTGCTTGACAATAAGAACGTCAGTAAACTGCTTTACTAATATATAAGAGTTTTAAATTTCTAGTTTTGGGAAAAAAGATGACAATTTAAAGGTACATTTTAAAAATCTTTAAAGGTATCTAAATACATATGTTTATTGCAAAAGGCTACCTTTTCTAAAAGCTGTGTACACATAATTTATTAAAGAGCTTAATAAATATTTTTCTACCTAAGTATATTGTTTTGTGTTTGTGTTTAATTTTTTGATCTTAGAGTGTATGTTTAGCAGTTTAGAAGATTTCACTGATTTTGGCTTTGTTGAGTTGGAATCAGTAGATAATTAAATCCTGTGGCTGTTTAAAAGGGCTGTTGATCACATAACTTGAACCCAGTGGGATCTCTCTAGAAGTATTATTATTTAACTTTGTTTCCCATTATTTTGGATCAAATCAAATAATTATGTTTTATTTGTGTGTCCCTAAGTATGTCATTATTTACCTTGTTTTTCACCATGCATCCTTTGGAAGCTTTCTTATGTAACATCTTTTCAAGGAATTCTGCTGGAGTAAATTCATGTCAACAAGGCAAAGCTCAACTCTGCCAAACTAAATGGAGAATTCATTATCCAGAAATCTTCACAGTCAAAAATCCATGATGATAGTGGAGGATAGGAATGTAATTGAGCAACCCTTAGCATCATTTAGCAAGAAATTTAAGTTTACTTGTAACTAGAAAATTTAGGAGGAAACAAAAAAGCCARAACAGTCCATAATTACATCAAAATGTTTATTTTTGGATATAGACATTTAAAACATTCATCTCCAAGAACAGCTTCAATCAGGTATACAATAAGAAATAGACTTTAAATCCTAATATGGAAAAGATAACAGAATTAATTTTTTAAATGCTGCTGTAGACACTAGTGTTAGAAAAAAAAGTTTATAAATGAATTGTTTTGCACCAAAAAATATGCAAAGAAACTTAAAAATATTGTTTGCCATTTGTTTCTCTAGTTGCTGTTTAATGTAGACCCAGTGACTGATTGTCTTCAGCACACATCTGATTTGGCCATTTACTGCATTTGGCTAATGTGATCCAAAATGTGATCTAGATAGTGCTCTTCACTGGTGGATTGACAAACACGCTACATACATTAGTGAATCTTCACACCACCTCAGTGAGGTAGGTTAGAAATATTATACAGAAATCGAGGCACAAAGAGGTAAGTGACTTGCCCAAAGTTTCTAACAGCACAGTACCTGGAAGAGGAGGTAACTCTCCACACAGGACTCATGTGCCAGAGCTGGACAGGAACATCCTCGTATAGCATTTAGTAAGTACTTAGATAAATAAAGCTGTCGCTGATCCTTTGAGTTTTCTGTACCCTGGAGAAGGGAAGTCTTTTGGGCAACTCTCCTACCCTTGGCTCTCAACTCTTACAGTTCTCTTATGAATGCCTTCACCTCTTTGAAGACTGTAGCAGCTTTGGATGGGGACCAGACCTCTCACCTTTAGACCTACAAGTAATCTATTTGGTAGTATTTTTGAGATGTGTCCATTGGACAGACAGTGGTCAAAAGTGATAGGATTGGGAATGTGTGTATCAGGGCAGTAACTGCTTATTTCTCTTAACCCTTTGATGAGGTGTCACCTCTCTCACAGTTTACCAGATATTAAGGAGCAAATATGAGTTGCGTTTACCTAACGAATTTACGTTTCAATCCTGATGTTCCATACAGTGTTGATAAATGGGTTTAAGGAATGTGGGATCAGTGGTTTATTTGCTACTTGAAAAAATTTCTATCCTAGATTAGGGATTTGGAGCACCAAGGGTAAAAGGTGCCTGCCACAAGGAAAGCTTGAGAGTTGCCAATTAACACTTTTTACTTCTGATTTAATAGAAGGAAAACACAGTGGTATTAAAATTGGTCATGAGCAGCAAAAATTCAGGAATAAAAAACTCAGCAATAAAAAGACTACAATATAACTGGAAAGGGAATTGTTTAAAAAGAAAGGCATGAATAAAATGGGTATTTTAAATTCTTTCTCCTGTAAGGAATACTTTCAAAAAGTACATAGTAAGACTAAGATACCAAGTTGTATACTAATATTTCTCAGGCCTTGGGCCTCAAATATATATATTTATATATAATACTCCAGTGTGAACAACAGTTTGATGAAATGCAAAATGTATCTTTTTTTTTTAATCACACACAAGTATTTATAACCACAGGGTTCACCAGAAATCTAAAGCAAGGAGACACTAGTATAGAAATGTAGGATTAGAGGAGTGACTTACACTTCCACAGATAGTTCTGATCAAGGTTTTTCAACAGAAATAAACAATTTTTTTCATTTATATAATACCCAACATGTCCACTATCAAATACATTTAGTATGAAAAGATAAAAAAGGAACATACATTAGGACACAGTGGGTAAAATGCTGTTGCATTTCAGTAAAGCCCACTCACTCTCCTTGCTTTAGAGCTCCTTGATGCAATGGAGGTGAGTTCGGTGGAGTGCAGTTGGTGACCGCTGAAAAACACGAGCCCTTTCAACAATGCTGCAACACTGTTAGTTTTTGGTTTAAACACACACACACACTCACAAATGCTAAGTGTACACACTACCAAATTCTGCGGTCAGCTTTTCCAAGAACTACTAGGGAAAGTTTCAATGCTGCAAATCCTCGAGGTTGCCCTAACACCCCCACCTTGTTTCCAAATGACTCATTTCACATTTTGTTTTGAGTATCCCTTTTCTGCAGAGRTGCAGTGTAGTCACAAGTGCTACATAGCTGTAGTTTTCCAACAAAACCACTTAGATAACATTGTGCTTAAGTGGAGACTGTAATTACAATACTGACACTTGCTTACTGGCCCTGTATTCTCTGTAAACAAGGAGGCTGTTTGCAACAACCACTTCAACTCTATTTACAGAAGGGTTCCCACGGTATACACACAGGCACAGTGGTTGATATGCTTTCTAAAAGCTGTGCATGTGCCTTGGTCTCTTGAAAAGACAGTGCTCAAAGTGGAACCCATGTGCAAACTTAAAAATTAACGACACAGAGTAGCTCAAGCAGCCATTTTGCTCCCAAGTCGTCTGAAGAACTTTGCCAGGTTAAGCCAGGCCCAGAGTGCTTACATCCACTTGCATTTCTTCTTTTCATCAAATAAGACTTTTACATGCAAGAGTTGTTTCTGAGCTTCTTCCAGCCCTCGTTCTCTTTCTAGTTTATTTAGAATCTGTTGACAATTAGAACAGTTATTTTAGATATTATGGTTTTAGCATTACAATTCTTTTTTTTTTGTTTTTGCATTCCTGATGCTGTGAGTGGGTAAAATCTGTATGAAACAGATGCCAACATTTTCTTCGATCATTTACATACTCACTTTGCAAGTTGTTTTGCTAAGTCATTATCACAGGATCAACAACACTTTGGCTTAAAATAGAAGCCCACAAGAAAATACCAACTATTTGCTTACAAATATGGGGCCAGACTTCCCAGGCCCTACTTTATGCATTATATCACAGCCATTCCAAGCACAGCAAGCATTCCTGGGCAGCCAACATGCAGGCAAGTATTTCTTCTTAAATGCAGCAGGCAGGGGCATCCTAGTCTGAGAGGAAAACTTCCCTCCCTTACCTCCCCTCCTGGGCAGCCTAGTCCCTCCTCTCCCTCCCTTCCCCAGTGCGTCCCTTCTCACCCCTAACCCCTGGAATAAGAGGGATGCTTATCATGTTTAAGGAACTCATTGCCTCTACCCTACCTTAGCTCTTCACTTGATCTTCAAGTAGCAAATGGAATTGGTGAGCTATTCTCACCAGTGACATGGATAGCCTGTCCCAGCATGACTGAGTGGGGGGGAATCAGGGAAGGGGGAATTAACATTTATTTGGAAACAACGCATCCAGATTAAGGAGAACTAATCATAAAGGAGAATGGTAGTTCATTACTAATGGTTGTAAAAAGCCTGAATTAAAACATTTGTTATTGAAATAGTTGCTTAAGTTAGAAATATGTCATAATTTCCTACAACTATTGAATATAGAATCTAGACGATTTAACAGGCTTAGCTTTCGTTTTTAGCAGACTACAATCAAGCTTAAGCTGGCCCCATTTACAGGGCCACAAATTACTCATTAAAGTTAGCTTGAGTCAGTGTGGCTGTAGGCCCCATGAACTCAAATGTAAATTCAGGCTGGTCCAAATGTGGGCAGCGTCATCTATCAGAGGGGCAGCCGTGTGCAGGGTCTGGCTTGGTGCCAGGATCCCCCATCTCAGGCAGGCTTCCTGGCCTCCCTTTCTGGCTGTTTGGGATGCCAGAACTGTCCTGAGACCCACAGAACGCTATAACCAAATCCTTGTGGCTGCTTCATAGCTTTAAAAGATGTTAAATAAAATCTTACCTCATCAAAATATTTTACGATGTATTTGTAGATTTCTGTCAAGGCCACTTCTTCATTAAATTCATTTTCGTGTTTCTAAAACAAAGAAAGTCCTGTTGAGAGACTCTGAAATGAGTTTTTAAAAAGGAACCAAATACAAGCCTATTTCTGTTTCTAATGCTACCTTAGATTCCTGAGTTAAGAATTCTTCCATTTCTAAAGGTGACAATGGAGGCAAATCCCTGATGGCTTTGTAATAAGATTTTACTTCCTCTTTGTAGGTCGGGATATCCTTGGCATAGAGCAGTTTATTAGTTGGTGCTTCCTGAAAAAAAAAAAAAGAATTCACCACCGAAAGAGTAAAAAAAATGGGGAACTTGTAAAAACGGTACAGTGTAGCTGCACCCCCACCACCCACCAGTATTACACCTAACAAGGCTTCATGCAGGAGGCCTCACTAAATGTTGACTGAGTGACTGACTGCCATCTAGATAGTTCTGGTGAGTCACTGTTATTTTCAGGCGTATTAAATG